GCCGCAGCTGTAGAAACTTTTGTCTTAATCTTATCATCATGCCTTTTACTTTAAGAGTACCAAGTTTCAGAGAAAATTTTGTCCACCCTATCTATTAAACAAACTATGGAGGATTTATTTTTATGTTCGTAGTCTTTCACCAAATTATTTAGTAACAATGTTTTGAAGTAGGCCTACTTTGTTTCATAAACCTGGTCTCTGCCAATATAACAAGGTAAACAAATCCTTCTAGCCTGGACCTAAAAAAAAAAACACTAAAGTAAATGGGCCCATTAGTGTTAAACCTAAATAACATGCATATAATTTAGAAATCTATATATCTATATATATAAAAGGCAAAGCCCTCACTGACTGACTCACTCACTCACTCACTCATCACTAATTCTCCCACTTCCCATTTACCTAGGAGGCTGAAATTTGGTACACTGATTCTTTAGGCATTAAATAGGAAAACTAAGTTGTTTTTATTCTGATCGGACTCTCGGGCTCCGCCCCAGTGGCTCTGGAGTTTCCCATGTTAACCTTATGAGTACTCATATTTAAATGGAATTAATGAATCTTAACAGCTGTTTCAATTAAACAAGTTGGTTCTGTTCTATGATGTGCAATAGCATTAAAGTTACAAGGATTACCAACATTGTGCAGAACTATTATTTTTTTTAAATTTATGACAACAGCTTAATTTGCAACCAAAAGGTGAGTGAGCGTAGCGAACGAACTTTAACCTGGAGGTGAGTAAGCGTAGCGAACGAGCTAACCCGTAGGCAAGTGAGCGCAGCGAACGAGCTCCAACCTAAAGGTGAGTGAGCGTAGCGAACGAACTTCAACCAGGACGTGATTGAGCCATGCGAACGAGCTCACTTATGAAGTCAAACGGGGCAAAGCCCGCGGGTACAGCTAGTATAGTATAAAAGGCAAAGCCCTCACTGACTGACTGACTGACTCACTCACTCACTCATCACTAATTCTCCCACTTCCCATTTACCTAGGAGGCTGAAATTTGGTACACTGATTCTTTAGGCTTTAAATAGGTCAACTAAGTTGTTTTTATTCTGATCGAACTCTCGTGCTCCGCCCCAGTGGCTCTGGAGTTTCCCATGTTAACCTTATGAGTACTCATATTTGAATGGAATTAATGAATCTTAACAGCTGTTTCAATTAAACAAGTTGGTTCTGTTCTATGATGTGCAATAGCATTAAAGTTACAAGGATTACCAACAGGGTGCAGCACTATTATTTTTTTCTTAAATTTATGACAACAGCTAATTTGCAACCAAAAGGTGAGTGAGCGTAGCGAACGAACTTCAACCTGGAGGCGAGTTAGCGTAGCGAACGAGCTAACCTGAAGGCAAGTGAGCGCAGCAGTAGGATAGGTATGTGCTTCTTACTCCCGGAGCCAATATGATCTCTTATGGGAATATCCGTCTCAAAATTCCGGAGCCGTCCCCCCACCACTCCACTTGCTCGTGTAAGTAATTAACGAGTATTTAAGATATTAATCAACCATCATAGGCTAATTATGGGTTCATCTACAGTTTATACGGGCTCTTATCCCTAAAAATCTGGGAGTCAACCACTAGCTCAAATAGAAAATTAGTAATTAACGACTAAGATATCAATAGTTACAGAAATTGCTAGAAAAAAAGATCAACGAAGTGATTAAATATAGTTTCGATGTAAATTGTGTTTTTCTATGCGTTATTATTTACTATTTAAATTAATTAGTACGTATATCTAATTTAACGTTAATAAATGATAATTTGTTAGTAACTAATAAATATAATCCTAGTTTTACTTAAATAAAATTCAAAATTTATTACAGTTTTAGTAAAACAAGTATCAGGAGTGGAAGATTGCGTAACTGCTTTGGAAACTCATTTTCCACGTGTAAAATCAGTTAAAACTTATGATTATCCATATATAAAGCCCACAGTATCCATGAACTTTTGAGAAAACTACAAATCACACCTCCGTAGTCCATATACTGAAAATGTTTGTCAAGACGAGAAACCTTGCACAAAAATCCCCCCCTTTAAGGTCGTAATTGCTTTCCAAATGAAACTTTCCATATACCTAATGTTAAAAATACTTCAGCTGTACTTATTTGTATGTTATTCTTTCAATTTATTACCTTATTAAAATTGGGTGTGAATATTTTTTTTATATAACTGTATTCTGTTTTTGTTGTTGTGCTGAACTTAACCAATCAATAGTTTTATTGATACTTATGAAGTCAAACAGTGTGAAGCCCGTGGCTTACCACTTGAAGTGATTAAATACGTTTTTAGCTGACTTTTTGTGTAGATCTGTTGATTTTTTGTTACAGCCTAGACATGGCTACATGATTTCATTCGTATATCTTCATAATTTCAGAGTTAAATATTTATTGTGATGGATAAGGAATGACATATTTGCTAAATCCGAAGTCTGCATCTGCGTTGCCTGTACCAGGCGAGCAGAAGTGGCCAGAAAACTGGTTTAGTGGACGGGAAATACTGATGCTTCTATCATTATCACAACGATAATATGCCTTTAAACAATGCACTAATTGATAGAACCTTTTTACATCAATTACAACACTATTCCTATATTGTTATTATCAAAAGTGAGCAAATTATTATTTGTCGAACAGTTTTATGGTTAGAGATGGTGTTCTGTTGCAATATACTAAAAATAGTGTTATTTCAAATTTTTAACATCAGACTTACCTAAGGGTAAAGAATATCTTAGTTTAGACGTATTGAGTATTCAATATGTAGTAAAAGAGTTTTAGATTAACTGCCATGTTGAAAGAACTCTTTCTTCCACCAGTTCTGATTTCTACGATGCCTATATGGGTATTTAAACCCAAAGTTAAGTGTAGAGTTATATTGTGTAACTGAGACTTGCAGTACTATGCTCAGTATTAGTCCAGAACCAAAGGTAGATTGTCACCATTAAGCCAGAAATGTATGTAAGATAATTCAAAATAGTCTGTTCCTGTGTGTGAAATACATGGTTTTTTAAAATGTCCTGTGTGGTTTGAATTACTTCATCAAAGATTAAAAGGCACCCCCAGTCCACAACCTTTGCATTTCAATGTCCAAGCGTTTATGAATATCTGAGACCACATAAAAGTTGGTCAAGTTTTTAACTTTTTAATTTGGTATTTGCTGTTGTATCCGAACATCTTCAGCTTCTAGTAAATTTCATTTGTAGAAATCTATATGCACAAACTGTTTTGAACTGCGTCTAGTTTGCCTGTATCAGGCGAGCAGAAGTGGTCAGAAAACTGGTTTAGCGGGTGGCAAACACCGATGCACAACACCTTGAGCAATCAAGCTTTTTTCTCTACCTACTATTCCTATGTGTTGGAATAGAAAATGATAGGGTTAATAAACAGAAAACACTGTTTTATAGAGGTATTTTAGATGGTATACAAACTTAATTCTAATGTATTTATGATTTTAAGTGTCCAAGTTTCCTTAGTCTTAGTTTAGATATCGTGAGTATCCAATATGTTGTAAAAAGTCCTTTGACCATCAGCTGAGTTAAAAGAACTCTGAAGCTTAGTATTATCAGTTCTAATAGGTATACTGCCAAGGTGTGAATAAAATCAAAGTGAGTTGCATAGTGTAAGACGTAGCCTGTATCGTTTAAAGCCAAGCTAAGTCCAAAAGTAGATTGTCACATTGGCTTTGAAATGGAAATGTATATTATTTGAAACCACACCACGTTTCAAGCATCAATAACTTTCCAGTTTTTAACTACATGATTAACGTATGTAGCTAGCCCTAAACGTAACATTCAAACAGGCTATGACGTTTCAATTTCCAAGCGTTTACGGTAACCGAAAATCCAAGATTTTATGCAAATTGGGTTTTAAGTATACATCAACGGGGGGATTTGGGTTTGGGTAAGGGTTTGAGATTTTTATAAAATAGACTTTGGATAGAAAGACAGCTAACTTGAAAAAATATTATTTAATTCAATTGTATTAAGTTTTAAACAAGCAATTATCAAATCATTTTATCAAATTAAGGGTGTATAAAGACGTTTTTTTATAGAAATCACATTATAAATATAAAAAGGTTAAACAATCAATCAATTGGGCAGCCTGAGAATCCCTCTCTTAAACTATAGTGGTTCGTTTTATTGTGGAAACCAGTTTTAGCATATTGTTAATCAGGAGCTCTTGATCACAATGAGATGCTGATGAGGTGCTAGATGATGATGTTGCTGGGCCACAATTGCGGTAACATGAAATAAAAAAAAACAGAGAGTGTTAGACTAAGAAATGAGGCATTTTTATTTGAATATGTGTGTGATGTGTATTACTCGATTCCTTATTTGATGTTCCAACCATATAAATACCATCAATTTTGTTTCTTTGAAATAGATGTTTTCAAAATACAAGCATTCAGACTTTAATTCTACAGTTTGTTTTTTAGTGAGCATTATTGTTGCCATGAATAATTTCAGACAACAGTTAAATTAAACCTGTAAATTTAATATTGGTTTAACTTTTTTTGCCCTCAGTTATATTCTAACTAAAAAATGTTGTCACTTAAGTTTTGTCTGATCAATAGGTTTTGTTGATGTTTTTATATTTGTGATATTAAATCTGTATGTTAATTGTGTAACAAGACTAGTTGATGATTCAGGTTTAACATTTTACCTTTGTTTTTATCCTATGTTCACACTCAATATAAAAAAGTAACAGCGGTCCTAGGGATCCTTTCCTCCCCATACCCAAGAGGTAGATCCGAGATGGGCGTTAGCTTATACAGGATGTTTTTTTTATGCTTATTCCATATTCTCAATTAAACAAGCTGAAGTTAAGAAAACATAAACAGTTGGTCAATGTGTCTTACTGTACTTGAATGAAAAAAAAACACCCTGTATTACGTGGATCGCCTTTCAGCCCTAGCCACGACTTTTTTAATGTGGTTTTATATCCACTGCTGTTACTTTACAATCATAGATACATAAAAACATATTGTACATTATGTGTTTTACACCTAAACAGTTAGTTTTCTTCTTTTCAATGGTGGTTCCTCCTGAAGTCGATAATGGCCGTATGGAAGTGTGTTGATTTTGTCTGGTAGAATGTATCTCTTGTCATCGTCAGCACTCAAAGTCACCTTGTTTATGGCAACAGTTGAAACGATATGCTTCTTTGATGAGATTATGTTGTTCATAGTGTAGGTAGACTCACGAGAATACAGACACTGGACGTAGTCTTCAAATTTTATTTTATTTTTCACAACAGATTTTTTGATTCCCTTGACTTTTTTGATGGGACTGTCTCTCTTGTCTATGGCGTACACCTTACTTCGTAGTCCTACAAAGGCTTTCATCACTTCACCACCTAATTCATCCTTAAACTTCCCAAGAACTTTTTTGTTTTCCTCTGAAAACAGAGGATGGTCCTTGGGATAGTTGCTGGTGTCAAGATGTTTTTGAAGCAATTTTAAGTCTTCGTACAAATCTACTGTCTCAATCTCAAGAAAATAAGAGTCGGTATCCTGGTAGCAAAGTTTCACTCTGTCTCCGTAAAATGGCTTCAATACTTCGTAATAAAAGTCATACATTCGCACTTTACTTAAATCTAAAATACTCATACCAATATAAATTGGTTTGTTTAATACAATTTTTGTCTTTCCCATGTGAATGCCTACCAAGTTTTCATTGTAGACGGTTCGATCGATAAAGTTGGGCTTTGAAATAAGTTTTTCAGCCTTTTTGGGATCTGACACTAACCTTATATCGAGTCTGTTTCGAACCTGTTCCATCGTCTTTCCATATATCGCATTGGACATCAATTTGTAAAAGTCTTTCTCGAATTCGTTGCATGCATTTTTTCTCTTTTCAGTGTTTAGATTAATGAAAGGTTTGAGCCAGTCTTTTTGTTGGAATTGAATTGCACGATGAATCTTTTTCAACTTCAATCCATGACTCAATGCTTGTTTTAGAGCTACATAATGTATCACATATTTTTCTTTGTCTTCAACTGTCGTTAAAAGTTTCTTATGTACACCTCCAGGTGGCACTTTTGTCTCTGCACAGAAAGGTAGATCAGCATGGTCGTCGTGTAGCGTTTGTGGATATTCCAGGTCAACTTCAAGTATATATCCCTCATCGGCGTCGTCGGGTATGGACTCAATATCAATGTCTAAATCATCACACCACTTGAGCCCAGCATAAGGGATATGACGACTTAATGCTTCCCCATATAAGTTATTTGCGTCAAGATAGATTAAATACTTGCTGGGCACATTAGGGTCTTTTGATATATACTTGTTGTTGGCTACGGAGAGACGTTTGATACACTGTGTGATCCCACCTCGGATACCCTTCTCAACCATCAAAAACATGTCCATGTCCTTAATGATTTCGAGTTGAATGCCTGTATATTTCAACATTGCATCCCATGCCAGTCCTGGTGTAGTAAAGTAGTAAGCAGGGTCTAAGTTATATGTCATTAGACAGGTTTTGCGGAAATTTTCAAAGGCATCACACAGAATCAAGACATCACATTTTACGTACATGTCAGAATACTCTCCTAATGTTTTTATATTGAAATTTTTCCACACGTTTTCTGCATGACTGTAGTCTTCATCGCTTATCTCCTCTTCACTAAGTCTACTGTAAAATGCAGACTTTGGTGGAAGTTGCCGTTCTTCGAGTTTGTCGAATGAAGTCATGTAGTCATAGCAGAATACCCCCTTTTTTGTTAGAAGTTCGGTATTTTCAGGAAAATGTCTTTTTGTTTCAATAAAATCTGACTTTGGTAGGTTATTTGCCAAGTTGCTAAGACTATCCTGCATAAATCTATAGGAATCTAAAAATCTCAATTCCATCACATTATTTTTGGCATGTTTGACTTTAACCATTTTTGAAAATGAGATGTACTTTTCTTCAGTGTTGGGTATAACTTTAATTTCATTTGTGTCATAGCCCAGTTCTCTGACGATAAAATGAGAGTCATATCCTGACAGGTTGTGGATAAAGCAGGGCACATAGTGTTGATCTTGATAAAACAGATTGCAGTGTCTATGGGCGACTCCAAAATATTTTCCACTGATATGACAATGATTTCTTACCTTGCAGTTTTCCTGGGTAAAGTTTCCTTTGTTACAAACGTGGCAGGCAGTAGCAGCATCGAAGTCTTCCTGTTCGTTCTGCGTAAGCTTAGGTACTTGAAGCTTCTTGTCGCCGAACAAAATCTTGTCTATGAATTGTATATCATCGTTCATGCTTTTTACAAAATGTTTGGCAGCGTCCTGTCCTCGATACACTCTCAGTTGTGTGTGCTGATCCTCAGAGTCTTTCAACAAGTATGCATAGCTATAAGGTGTATGATGCTGATATGCACTTGTCCAAGATGTTTCTGGGTCACCATTACACGCATGAACTGGCTGCAGGAGCGTTTCAAAGTCAGCATATATTACAAACCTAACTTTCTTCGAACGATGTTCATTTTTAAATGAAATGGTATCGTAAGATGGAAATTCACATCGCTGAACTTTCGGACATTCCAATTGATGAGCAATCAACTTTTCCTCAGCAGTTTTGTCATAGAAATCGTTGAAATGAGCAAAACAACGTTTACAAACCTTGATTTTACAGTGGTTTTTTGTAAATTGAGAATGAACTAATTTGTTAAAATCGGTTATCAGACAATAATGTGATGTATTCAGATCAGTGATATACAGTAAATCGAAATGATTCTTCTTCTCTTCTTCACAAACCTTTAACGGGTAAACGTCAGCCTGCTCAGTTAGTCCAAACACATTAACAGACACACTGTTTGCTCTTTCGAATTGTTTGATCTCATCAAGTTTTACTGGGAATGAGATACAGTTCCAATCATATTTATCTTCAAGCTCCTTGTTATTTATGTATTGGCACACTTCCCAGGGTTTGTTAGTGACATGTTTTGACAGGATCGCGTATTTGAAACAAAAGTCATCCGAATTTCTAATGTTTATCACGGCTTTCCTATCAGAAATTAGTTTAGGAAGTTGAATATGACGTGAGCCTCGCAAAGGGTTGTATCGATTGATCCTCAGCTCAACTCGTTTCACCCTACTAAAGGTCCATCCCGATTTCTTCATTTCACATTCACTTTTTTCTGTTGTTAAATTCTCAAACGCATCTTCAAGAACAGGATTTAAATCAGTCGTTTTGTAAACAGTAATGTTTTTCGTTTTAAAACTGCGTTGACAATGATCCCCAGCTATGTTTGTAAATTCAGATTCAACAAAAATATTAAACTTAATAGCTGAGTATGTTAGTAAAATAAATTGAATCTTGTCCACTATTGCAAGTTTTAATTTCTTCAATACTGTGTCGAGATCGCTAGAGTCTGGTTGAGTCACATACGTTTTGATTCTGCTTTTAAAAGCTTTCTCAACCTCAACGAATGGTGACTCATTTTCTTCATGAATTACTTTAAGTTTTTTTTGTGGAGCCTTTCCTCGACATGCAAATTTTTCATGCTCAGTTAAGTCTGACCGTCTTCCAAAAGACTTATTACAATCTTTACACACAAATTGTTTTTCTTCAACGTGAGATCGAAGGTGACGAAGCATATTTTTACGTAGCGTAAATGTCTTTCTGCAAATGGTGCAGGTAAACATGGTGCTGAAATTATAGTTAAGGAAACGCCAAATATATTTATAACTGCTTGTTTGTATAGATTTTCTAAGGGTGTAACTACATTCACAAAGAAATTTCTTTAACCTATTACTAATTATGTTACAAACTTTATTGTATTTTGTTGTTATTATTAGTTTTTAGTTCGCCTCAATAAAGAAGGATTTTCATTTCATTCTATTCCCTTAACCCTTAAATATTTTAACCATTTAAGCTTTTAAAAGGATACAGCTGAAAAGGTTAACATACAACACAATATAAATTAAACAGTATTTGCAATAGTTAGTTAACACATCTGACAATACTTTCTCTAATTAGCTTGTCAACAACCTTTATTATGGGTAAACATTATGAGAAACTTCGCTACTTTATAGCGAAAATCACAAAAGTTGCAATAACTTTTGAAATGTAATTTTACAGTGATGGGGGTTGCACTATTTTTCTTAGAATTATAAGAACAATAACATACTAATTTTAGTCAAAACCGGATTTTTCAAAAATCAAGAATTTCCCTTATATGACTTTTTTTTATTGGAAAATAGCATAAGCTACAATAACTTTAAACTAAAAATTTTTACTAAAATGGAATGTTTACCATTTTTTTGAGAATTTAAAGGGTTATCACATGCGAGGGCTATCGAAATTGGTCAGGCTATTTTTAAGGAAATTCAATTTTCCCGTCTTTTATGGAAAATCGCCATTAAAATCTACGTTTCTAAAAAAATTAAAGAAAAAACGTCTGGAGATACCACGAATTAGTGTCTACATATCAAATTTCATCAAAATTAGTCTATAGCTCTGTACACATGCAGACAAACACATAGACAGTCATCACTTTCAAAAACCACTTTTTGGGTTCAGGGGGAGCCAAAACGGATATATCCACTTAAAACTCAAACTTGAAAATTTTGACAAAACCAAAACTTTTCCATTTACGCACAGGGTACAAATACCCCACCACAGCATACCTAAAGCAAATTTTAATTTAATTTTCACTAAAATACTCTCTAAGATTTTAATCCTATTTAAACTAGATTGATTTTAAAATACTAAGGTTTGCTGCTACATATGTGTGTTTTTATTGAAATGTCAATACATTATCATAAAACAATCAAATCTGCATAATGTGTTTGAAATATATCCAAAACAAGCTACAATGATTCCTCCATAAGAATAACATATGAATTTTTAGTTTACATTATATTTTTCTCCTTAGCTAGACATATAACAATGCATCAGTATACTAAATGAAATTTGAAGATAAACGGTTTAGAAATAAATTGAGAGAATTTATAGGGGGGGGAATAATTATTTACCCCATTAAACCCAGTTAGTCCGTGAAAACTAGTTCAAATATTGTTTTCCATTTGTATGAAATGCCATCAAATTCTGATAGTTTTTACTCGAGTTATCATGCTAACAGACACATGTGAACAGTGTTTTGGCCTCTAAGGAACTAAACATTTAAAAGTAAATCCCTGATTGTAAAAAAAAAAAAAAAAAAAAGATTGTTTCCTGGAAAAGTTGTTGTCCTCAAAAACCACTGACACAAATTGTCATCACACAGCTGCAGTAGTTTATGCATGCTAGTTTTCAATTTACGTTTTATTAAATGGCTGTTTAGTGTTATATAAATCTAAAACATGTTATACTAAGTGAATCTTGCTACAAATCACTGAATTAATGGTCTTTATTCGATAAAAAAACATATTTTAAATGCAAAATCTGAGATGAAGAATACAACTCTGTTTAAAGAATATTGCATTGCTGTAAATAACAACATGGTTTAAAATTGTCCGTGTATTCAGGGAGTCTCGCATCCAACAATCCAACTTCCACCATTGAGTGTATTGTAGAGTTTTCGAGGAAATTTTGGTTTATGTAATATAAACGGTATACAATGACTACTAAACAGGGGACGGAAGCTAAAAGCAATGAATTTTTGAAAGATTTTGCTTGCTAAACATGTTATTCCAACAGCTAAGCAAGGATTGTCATTTTCAATGTTCATGTGAATCACTGTAAAACTGTAAGATTGCTAGTGGTACAATGGATATAACATAAATAACATTATCAATCAATACATATAAAAACATCCAATACGGGTTTATCATTTGTTGTCAAACATTAATTAATGTGTTAATGGCAATATCATTGTTTGTAACACATTAAGTATCTGGTAGATGTTGTCTGTAGAAGTGGTTGTTTAAGTGATGTGTGGTTGGGTATAGACCTTGATTTTGATTCAATTTGAGTACTATCCCTAAAATCACCAAGTAATTTAATATTATGAAATTTGTAATTGACGTTTACTCCTAAAAACACCACAAATATAGGGAAAAACTGTTAAACACAAAACAACTTAAACTATGTGGATTACAATTTAGAATGATACTTTTAATCCAAAATGGGGCAACTCCCAATGCTGTAAAAGTATGGTTAGAAAGAAATTTTCGTCATACTACAGCAATGAGTCGTTTTTAATGCATGCGTTGCAGGTATAAAAGGGGGTACAAATCTGCTATTGTAAACAGTTGTAAATTTCTAATGTGGCAATCGTATGACATTATCTATAGATTGAATTTTTATGCAAGGTTTTAACCTATTGTTGTCGATTATTCGACGATGGTAATGTACTGTAACACAAACGTAATAGAGAAAATGATTGAATCACTAAACAGCAGCTTATTTGCATTAGCAGAATTGAAAACAAGCTGGAAGTCGTTTTGAGAGGTTATTTTTACAAACAAATTATTTCGTTTTCTAACTTTGTTTGTTAATTACTGATGCAATACGACGAAAAAATAGGCAAAAAGAGTCACTTTAGGCCCTAGTAATGAAATATACTATTTCATATTACTGATCAAATAAGTTGTTCACCCGTAGGTACAAGCCAATGGGAGAAACTCTCAGTCAGCTGATATTGTAATGACATTTTTACACTTAACCCGGTTTCTATGTGGGAAATGATAGTGACATTGAAAGACCTCGTTTAACAACAACCATTAATACTTATTGTAGAGGTATATGTTGCTTAACATAGCAAGATTTTGACGTACAACCGCATTAATTGATTTATAAAAAATGCATTTTTGGACGTTTTACTTATTCTCAAAGAAAATGTGTAGTTAAGAAACATAAAAAACTAGTGTTTAGCTAGGTCAAACATCAAGTGTTCTCATTGTGAAATTATATGCTCATAATATCTTTGGATGATGTAGCCAGACATACAGTGTCAAGGTCATTACCCAGACTGCAGACTGGTTTTAATGCAAGGTCATTCTCCTACCTCGTAACCTAGTGTTGCAGACTGGCATTTTGTTTTGTCAAAAATAGCAGCATTAATTATTGTAGTATTTGTCATTGTTTATTGGGTCCATTTAAAAATGCTTTATTTTTACTTAAGTTCGATTAATGAACTACTCTTACCTTATTACTATTAACCAATTGTTAAAAGATACTTGTAACAAAACAGCTAGTATACCCAATAGCAAAATATTCTTCATACTCTTAAGGTTAGTGTTGGAGAGCATAATTGAGGAATAATTGGACGATTAAGATAACAATCCCTATAAATATTATTCTCTGGCCTAGCGCACAAGTACGTTATCAATAACTCACTACAACCTAAGGTCAAGCTGTGAATTGCAATATTTCTTTTTTTCCTATCTTTCTACATAATGTTCACAAATTGACTTTGGTAAAAGATTTCCCACATATTATAACGTTTCGTGTTGAAATTTGAGTAAAATGTCCCCGT